GTATAGGGTTTAGGGTTTAAGGTAAGTTGATTTTGTTACAGCCCAAGTATTTTAGCGAGCAACATTTCGCACCAAAGGCTGCGGCAGATTCCCATATCCGTACCTGTAGAAAGAGACGCGAAAACAACTTTGCAAAATTCCAGTCTCCTGAATATATTCTGCCTGTCTAATCTGTACAGTGGCCTAAAGCCACCTCCATCCCCCGGCATTGCGCCCCCCCCCTTCCCTGAAAAATACTCCAACCCTAAGCCCTTCCTCTACCTCAAGCCTCATAGAGTGTAGGTGGGTTTAGGATTTAGGGTCTATAGGTTTGGCTTTAGGGCTTCAAAATCCTCACAGTGGAGGATGTTCATCAGCAGCACGGCATCAGCCGTACCCTCGTCCAGCCCATAACCGTCGGCCACAACGTCTCGGACCTGGCTGCACAGTGATGATAAGAATAAGATTTTTAATAAACAGCCAAAATGACAGCAATAATAATATCAGTAATAACCACAAGAAGAATTTATTTTTATTTTTTTAAAAACATGGTAAGCACGACAACCATAGTTGAGCTCCGCTAGTCCGGCTCTTAGCCCAGGAGCGATCCTTGACCGAGTAACCAGCCGTCGGACCATAGAGTTCTGTGCAGTCTTGGACTCTTTGGTTTCATTAACCTGCTTCCTTCCTGGCAACAAACAATTGGGTCGCTGTTAAGAAACTTAGTTCAAGTTACTATATTGGGGAAACCCTATTAATTCCTATATATACCCATTATGGTAACTTAATTTAAGTTCCCTAACAGACAGCAACCCAGGCAATGTGAACATAAAGATCCTGTTTTGGGGGTTGTAAAGTTGCTCATGCTGGGACATCAGTAACAGAGGAGCGCAATGTCTCGGTGCCAAGGAATCAAAAAATAAATACCCTGAACCCAGATAACTACAATGATACTCCTAGTATCCCCCTTAATGAGCCCTATAGTAGCCCCCTATATAATCTCCTATGGAACGCCTTGAGTAGAACGGGAAAGGAGCTGCTGCAGGGATTGGTTCCTCCATCCCCGCCTCAAAATCAACAAGTCTAAAACTCACATGAGCTGTAGCCTAAACTCCTCAAAGGGGTTCTATAGGGGACTATATAGGGGAGAGAATTTTGGATTACTAAGGGGGTACTACAAGTTTAGACGAGAGCTCACATGCATTCTGCCCATAAGGCCCGAAACCCTACAATCACACAAGGCATCGCCCGATGGATTCCGGAAGCTGAATTTGTCAGTTGAAGGCGCGAAAACTGAAACTGAATCAAAGACTCCAACCCCGCAAGAGCCTTTTTCTAGATGATGCTTAGACGCACACCTCCCTAAGCCCGCTAAACCTTGAAAATTGGGGAAACGGGCATGCCTTGATTCGAGAATGCGCCTGAAAACAAATCAACCAATTATGCTGTTGCGTATAAATCGCCTACATTCCCCTGGAACGAAAACAGGATCCTTTTCACGTAAATATCAGGAATCCCATACCCCAAAAATGTATCAAGCATCCCTAGCATTGATCCAGAATACTTGCAAATCAAGGTGTAGTCAGCTTTGTCAGCAACAGCAAGGCCTGGGCATTGACGTTGCCCAGCCCGGCAGCCTGCAAACCTCAGAGAAGCCAAGGCTTTTCCCCTGAGGTTTCAGGGGTTTGGAGTCCTCTCCCAAATACGGGGATTTCCAAAAAGAAGGGTTTCCTTGGCGGCTTCAGTCAAAGTCGAGAGGACGCGCGAAAAGCAGTCCCTTCAAAGGATGTTCGGAAACTCCCACTTCAACATGAGAGAAGGCACGGTAAAGAAACTACTGGTCCCCTAAGGGTCCAAGGACCCNNACCATTAATATTACAGTATTTGGACCCTAAAACCCTATTATTTGGGTCCTTGGACCCTTAGGGGTCGGCAAAGGCCGTCATTTCGTTCCGGGCTTCAAGGTTAATTGCTGCTTTTATCACGGCCTTTTCCATCTGCAAGGTTTAAGGCTTAGGGTTTGGGGCCTACATTGGGCCTACATTTGCTGGGAGAGGTTGAGGAGGTAAGGTTTTGATTCGAGGGGGCGGCTTGCCCAGACCTTTGCGGCAAAGCTAGCAGGGACCATGCTTACCCGGGGTTGTTGAAAAAACAGCTGAATTCAACCACCAGAAGATGGAGGCGTAGTAAGAGAAATATTTCCTAATGAAGGCAAGTTAACTAATTCAAGTTCAATCGTGGCCATAAGTCAACGGACATAAGGTTGTCTGCATCCCTGCTCATCCAACAGCAGATAGAAACCACAAACGGTGGAACCCACAACCATTCCTCATCTCCTTTTTACATTCCCTACTGGGGGACCTACAGGGAAGGTTTTTTTTGTTTTGCCAGCACTTACCAGAGCATGGGTGCCGCGTTTCAACCGTCTTTGTTACAAGGATGTCAGCCACACGGGAAACTGCCTTGCGCCATAGAATTTCAGGACACTGCTGTAAGTCGCTGTACAATGCTACACCCTGACACGCCCACCACCGTCACCATGGAAAGCTTGACTTGGAAGCACCTGCCTCTCTTTGTCGGAGCAGGGGTTAAGGTGGTTGTGAGGCAGGTCTGCAAACATTGAAAAACCGTGTTGCCCTATCCACTAGTGACTGCTCTGCAAAAGTCTCCGGACTCCTACACATGCATCCCCAACAAACCTGGAAGGACTACCATGATTCCACAGGAATACTTAGCGCATGACTCTAAACCCTGAACCTGTAATATGACTCCCTTACAACCCTCATAGCACAATGCTATAACATACCCCGAAACTTTATTCTACCTAAGCAAGGCCCCTACATGCTTTGAACTTCTAGCGCTCAAGCAACGCTTCTCGGTCTGCACCACCATTCGCGGCTCAATGTCGAAGGTCTCAACACTTTCGCAGCGCTTGGCTACCTGGACTAGATGTGGCTTTGTATGGGAGTTTCCCAGAAGAGGACTGCAGGGAACCCTAAGAACATGTGTATGTATGCAGACAAAGATAGACAACTGCATAGGTAAACAGACAGACAGATAGATAAAGATATGGCATGGATACAGATATGCACAAGGATTGTAGGCAGATTACACTGGGCGCCCTTGAGTGCACAGGGAGACTCAGGACAAACTCCCTTGTCAACGCTGCCAACAGGACTATCTGATACCTAGTCGTGTGATAGCTTTCTTTTCCAGTTCTGAGGTAACAAGGGCATCCTCATGAGTTCAGGGCTAGCCTCTATGGCCGGTTTGGGCAACAGCCGCGACCGACCGTTGCCCCCAAACTGCGATGACTAAAGGTCCATCCCCAAAAATGTGAACTCAATGTCTACGTAAATCAGCCAAGCTCTTGAGAATACAGAGTTGCGAACACCGGTCCGCATCGCTGACAATCACGATGTGGCAGCAGCTTTACTTTAAGGTAACGTAACTCATGGCAACAGGTTGTTTCCTTTGAGCTGTAGGGGCCCTTCCAGTACCTGTTGCACAGGCGCAGTACCTGCTGTAGAGCCAAGAACCAATAGCCAACATCCTAACCCCCAGGCCCTAAGCCCTCAAGACCCTCAGGTCCTACACCCTACACACCCGAAAATCCTGAACCCAGGCACCCCGAAACCTGACACGCAAAGCACATGAGCGCTCTGAAATGAAAACCTCCCCAGCCCTCCCCCCGCACCGGCAAGGTAATGGTTCCATAGCCGCAACCAAGCTCGACAACCTGGAAGGTACTAACCCTAGGGATCCAAACAGCCCAACGTAGGTAATATCTACAGACTTTGGGCCCCAAAGCAGGTATTTTTTGTATACTTGGATCCCTGGGGTAAATTTGGTTTAAGGTCTAGGGAACGGAAAAGTAGAATGAAAACTAGTGTATTGTTGAGGGTTATAAGAGGGGACACTAAAAGGATGTACTCCTGCATTCTCTACTATAACGAAGAAGCACTCGCTTCAGGCTTACTTTAGTTTGTCTCTCAATGAGGGTCCAGATACATCAGAAAGTGTTGAGGGTTTAGGCCTGGGATTTGGGTGATGATAATTGCAGTGCTGGCGGGGGGGAACTATATAATTGTTTGGCGCTTGGGCAGTCAGGATTTGGTAGTTAGACTGGCTGACTTCTGTTTCTCTTGTGGGGCCATGCTTTTCTCATGAATTTCCTCAAGGCTTAAGAAATAATCGATTCTTGCCCCAAAGCCTGAAGGTTTCACGGCTTCCTGCTGTTTCGTGTTTGGCAGCTTTTCTTCAGTTGATTCGGCTCAACCCCTCCTGCTGCCCTCCCCTGGCCCTAAGCCCTAAACCCTACTAGGACCGAAGACCTAAACCCAAAACTCTAACCCTAAGCCCTATAAAGCCCCCAATCCTGAACCCTCAAACTAGCCCCCGGCAGCCTTCCGGTGGCAGCCGGAGGTAAAGCCCAAGGCATCCAGCCTTAGGAGTTTACTTGTTTAGTGTTTAGGGTTTGGTGGTACTCCAAAAGTCCCGAAATTATCTTTTCATATTTCCCCTTGTGCAACTAAGGGGAAATGATCACATATCCCAAAGTGCCAAATGGATTTTAGGTTCATGCTTTAAGGTTGCATGACTGACGGGTTCCGGGTTCAGGGGTTGAGGGTTCAAAAGTGCAGGGATGAAATCGTTTGGGGGTCTAAGGTTCTGGCATTCAGCTTTATCCTACGGCTCCAAATAACCCAATGCAAGTAACATCTAAATGTAGGTAACATCTATAGGCTTTGGGTCCAATATAGGCCCTAAACCCTAAACCCTAAAACCCTAATTATTTGCAGACTTAAAGCCCCAGGGTTTGAGACAAGAGGGAGCACCGCAGATCGAAACGCAAGCTGGTGGTTGAGTTGAGGGGCGGTTTTAGGGTTTTAGGGTTTA